GTTAAAAAACTTTTATTGTTTCCTTTTCAACCAGCCTCTTTCAGATTTGACGTTGTGTTCTTCAGATTGTCAAAGGTCCAACAAGACATACTTCAAGAGATGAAGATCTACCTAATAACAGGAGTTTTCAGTTCTGGCGACTTCTGTATTTTCATCATTTGTTGATCATCTGATGTTTTATTTTATCTTATTTTGAATACCAGATTCTTCTAATTTTACCTTGACTGTCACGGTCTGAGGTGTGTTCCTGCCGGCACTCCCTGTCTCTGAGTTTTCCCTCTGCAGGTGGGCGTGTCTGGAGGTTGACCAAGCTGCAGCAGATCTGCTCATCAGCCGGCCAGGTGTATTTAAGCAGCTGAGAGACTTCTACGCCTCGCTGGATGATTTCGCTACCTGGGTAACTTGCTACAGCCACCTCGAGAATAATATTCGAGTTCTTGAACCTTTTGAGTAGTTGTTGGATTTTTGCATTTTACCTCCTGCTCTTGTTTACAGACAAGACCTCCACCCCATCTCTGACTGGCAGAATTCTGGAACCTCTACACCTGCTTGTCTCTCAGTTCCTCCCTGGCCAAAGTCACCTCCAGCTGCCCACCTAAACTTCCTGGACCTCCACAAGCTCAGCTCCCTCCACGTCTCACCTCTTGGATCTCAGTCCCAGGAAAGCCCTCTCAGCCCAGACTGGACCACTCCTCCCTCGAACTAGTTCCCTCCTCTCCAGACTGTTAAGTCCTCCGCACAAGTCTGATTCCTTGTTCCCTCCTCGAGTCGGATCTAACTCCCATCTGTCCACAGATTTCCCGCACCGGCTCCCTTGTGCAAGAACTCGGCTACGTTTATGCTGCTTCCTTGGTTTCCCTTTTAATAAATTCTTATTTAAACACTTTATCCCCGTCTCTATTCTGATTCTGTATGTCGTGGGTTAGATTTCTTCACAACATGACATTGATACACACATCTTTAGAATAATGTAACTTGTGTTATTATGGCCTTGTCTCTGTTTGCAAATGTCTCAGCCGTAAATGATCACTCATTACACACCAAACACAGTCCTTTAGTGCACGGTGCTGTGTGTAACATCACTGTTCCTAGCCTCTACTAAAACCACAAGGACCGCTAATTTAGCTCCATAAATGGAAGCTTTGATCCTGCTAAACAAACTCAGTCTGTTACCAAGTAACACTGATTTCACCCTCAGATAACACTGAATACCATTTAAACCTAATAACTAGTTCTGATGACAGATGCAGACGTAGTACAGTAAACCTCCAGAACCGTACAGACGTTGTGAGTCACCTCTCGTCTTTGCTAGGAAACAGAACTATGATAATCATGCGTGACATTTAAACTGCTCACTTGATGACGTAACACAACCGCTTTTAGCCCTAAAACAAAAGATTTGAGTCGACGTTTTTAATCTGTAAAATAAAAGATTGTTATAAAAATCTAAAAAAATATTCTTATATTAAGACCAGACTGGGAACAGCAGCAAAAGCTGCCATTTATCCAAGAAAAACTCTAACAGGCTTTCAGAGTCTGGGTTGCTTTAAATAACTTACGTCTGGATCCATCCATTTATCAATTTTCATCCACTTATGGGGTCAAGGCGTCCAGGAGGCATCCTGACCAGATGCCCGGTCCACCTCAGCTGGCTCTTCTCGATGTGGAGGAGCAGCGGGTCTACTCTGAGCCCCTCCCGGATGAGCGAGCTTCTCACCCTCTCTAAGGGAGAGCCCAGGCACCCTGCGGAGAAAACTCATTTCAGCCACTTGTATCTGCGATCTCGTTCTTTCTGTCACTACCCAAAGCTTGTGACCATAGGTGAGGGTAGGAATGTAGATCGACCAGTAAATCAAGAACTTCGCCATCTGGCTCAGCTCTCTTTTTACCATGACAGATCGGTACAACGTCCGCATCACCACAGCACCAATCCATCTATCGATCTCGCACTCCAGTTGTCCCTCACTCGTGAACAAGACCCCGAGATACTTAAACTCCTCCACTTGAGGCAGGACCTCTCCCTGACCTGGAGAAGGCCTTCTACCCTTTTCTGATTCAAGACCATGGTCTCGGATTTAGAGGAGCTGATTGTCATCCCAGCTGCTTCACATGCTGCGAACCGCTCCAGTAAAAGTCAGAGAGGATGTTCTGATGTAGCCAACAGGACCACATCATCTGCAAAAAGCAGCAAGCTGATCCTCAGGCCACCAAAATGGATGCCCTCAGCCTGGGCTGTGCCTAGAAATCTCGGCTTCCTCACTGATGGAAAAAAACATGCCGGTGGGATTGAGGAGGTCTTCGAAGTATTCTGCCCACCGATCCACAACATCCTGAGTCCAGGTCAGCAGCACACTGTCCCCACTATAAACAGAGTTGGTAGCGCACTGCTTTCCCCTCCTGAGACACCGGATGGTGGACCAGAATCTTCCCAAAGTCGTACGTAAGTAAGTCTTGATCCATATGAAGAAATAATGTGTAAAGAAATAAGGTCAAACAGGCAGAACAGGTTTTATCTAGAGTAGATCAAAATATTCTACCCGGATGATTATTATGATGTAAAAAAAACCAAATTCATTTCAGCTTGTAAAAGCTTTTAACCTTTTAGTGAACATATTTTTACTTGATGTCATGTGATCAACAGTGTGTCTGTTTCAGTTTAGGGCCCTTCAAGCTGCTGTGGTAAATTTGGAAAACGAATTAGCTTAAAACATTTATTCATGCTAGCATCATTCTAACATAGTATAGCTATAAATATAATGCAGAGTGAAGAAAATTAATAAATAAACAAAAAAATAAAGAATAAAGTGGTTCTCTCACATTTGCCTGAAAACCTCCACCAATAGCACGTTTCTGAACGAAAGCAGTTAATGGACCACCTGGAAGTCAGTCTCACACCTCCGCACGTCCCTGGGTGCTCCACTAATCACACACACACACACACACACACACACACACACACACACACACACACACACACACACACACACACACACACACACACACACACACACAACTCATGTATTAACAACAGCACTGGTGAGAGAGGTTCTCCTCTCCATAATGTCAAAGATGGAGCAACAGCCGGCTGCTACCACTTCGGCTTTAGTACAAACTACCAGAGTCCCAATAAGAAAATCACCGTCTGAAGTCACGGACAGCAACGGATGTTTGGACCTGGAAAACGGTGACCGGTGTTAAGCGCTATCTTGTGTCCTTTTGAAATGCAGGTGTCCAATTCCAGCAGAAGCGTCTCGGTGAAGATACACGAGGAAAGGGGTGAGTGTTCCGTGGCCGCGTTTGACCTAGCTTGTTCTGTCGATTCGCTGAAGCAGCTTTAACTTTCTCGGAAAATGAGAATTACAAGTTAAGTGTGCTGCGGCTGCCCTGAAGGCCCCTGTGGTTGCACCCACCCTGTTAGCAGAAGACATTCAAACACCTGGGAGAAATCTTCTTCACAGCCTTATTTAATGTTTTTAACAAAAGTAAACCATGCTAGATGCGGGGACAAAAAACATCCGTAACAAAATAGTTCTATGTTATAATCGTTTTATTTGCTTTCTAAAAACTCCAGTAAAATCTTGTCGCGTACGCGGACTCAGGAAATCGTGCTTTAACTAGTTGATGCGGCCGTGGATTTGTGACACATTTTTAAGGCATCAACCAACAAACCCAACAATTACATCATTTCTTCTACTGCCACATGTTTGTTTGTAAATAAACTAAATAAAGGACGGTTTGATCATTTAAAAATCATAAGTTCATCTCATCTGGTTTTCAAACTTCATAGTGAACTTAGTCTCTCCCACTGGCTTTGGGTGGTTTTAGAGATTTCTTTGTTGTTTAGCCGTCTTTACAGACTAAACTACCCTCCTGTGTTATAATAACAACATGCACATTAAAAAGAGTCTGCTGTGAGCCAGCAGACGGGGATCCTGCTGTCTAATGGCGGCCCAATCTCACAGATGTCTCTTCTCAGGGGTAAAACATGACTAATCATAACTTCTCAAGTTTACCACTGGCTCAGAAACAAAAACTGAAAACAAGAGAACAGGGAAGTGAATTCACAGCAGTAAATTAGCACCCACAGAGTTATTATTGTAATCAGAGGTTTGGAGGGCTTTGAATGGCGGCGTAACTCCCATTGTGCGAGACTCCATGAGACTCGGTCCGACAGCGTGGGCTGCACACCTTCCACAGCATAATCACTATATTTACCACAGTGCAACCCTCCTCTGTTTATTGAGATATTAATCTGGGATAAACAAAGCTTTTGACAAAGCAAATTAACACTCTCAAAGAAGTGCTGCACTAATGTGGTCTATGGAGGTTGATATTAAAATGTGAATGAGGTTAATGGGAGGAGAGAAGACGAGGAGCTGGGAGATGCTGGAATTAGGGGAAGGAGGCCCAGGGCGATGCACCTTTCACCAGGAGCGTCTGCCTGAACGGTGAGAGTCCCTGCTGAGATCAGCATCAGCATGTTTTGTCAAATACAGTAAATTAAGGATGGAGTTAATGATGATGATGATGAGAAAAAGGAGAATCAAGATAATGAAAGCCGCCCTGTGCTTCCAATTACCACTTCCACCGTGGAGCCGATTGTTTTGTCTTCATGCTACGATACATTCAGTTGTCTTCATTTGTTCGTCGAATGTTGTCCCCATAAAAGTGCCCCGCTGCTGAGCAGCTCTTCACCAGTCCAGCCCCGGGGCAGACACAAATTCAAGTGAAGATTTGATTTTTTTCTATTTGTAAACACACACAGTTCACAAGTTCAGTGGCAAATCCAGGTCACGTACCATCAAAGGAGTCTTAAACAATTTCCCCGACAGCTCAGCCGATGACACCAGCCTCCTCAGTTTGAGCCTCATTGTGCTCCACAGCCAGTACAGCGTTACTTAGGCGAGTCATTACAATGACCAGAAGAAATGGTAGCAAATCCTCATAATCCCTCGTCTTTATCTGTCTTTAACCCTCCTTCCCTTTCAGCCCCAGGAGCTGCAGCTAAAAGCTGTCCTTTGGGCTCTCTTAGAAGTGGGACACTCGTGCTCCAGCCAAATGTCACACGCTGATGGATGAATTTGTCTTCTGCTCCCGCTGTGTCGATGTAACACAGGCTTTCGCTTTCTGCTGGTTAAAAAGCAGATAAAAAAAAAACAGAAACATGCAAATATTTAAAAGAAATGCAAAACGCTTGTAAATGAAGCATAAAAAAGGCAAATTCCTCTTTTGTTTTTAGATTAAACAGATTCCAGCCATGTGGCGGGACTCTATTTAACAAGATACATTTGGTTGCATAAAGTGGTAAAGTGAAAACATGTCCCACCCAGTCAGTCTATCTACATTACTTTCCTCTCCTATAGGATTTCCTTTGGTGCTACTCAAGGCTGCTGGTTTAACCCCCCCCACCCCACCCCACCCCACCCCACCCGTGCGAGAACAGTGGAAACGTGACGGCTGAGTTGAACATCCCTCCAAGTGTGATGTGCATTCATTCATGTTGCTAAATGAAAAAAAGTTTCCAAGGAGTGTGCACCCCCCCCCCCCCATTAAAAAAAAGAAAGACGGAAAACAAAACCCATGCACACGTTTAAGTTTGCACCTACATGCATGCACACACACATGCACACGGGAATCAGAGTGAGTTGTCACATTAGGCTCTGGACTTATGCTGGAACTCTCTTTCAGAAACAGCACAGTGTAATATTTTCTGACAGCAGAACAAATGTCATTATTACACATGCTAAAACCCAGGTTGGTAGAAGAATGAAATCTGCTTAAATCAATACAAGAGCCAACCGAATCACCTCATGGATGCCATTAATCGTCCACATTGATCCATCTCTCTTCCTCACTCTCCCACCGTGTTTGGAAATTCAACCTAAGGAATGTCGATGTTAAACATTAGCATCATGGGAATGATTATGCTGTATAAAAATTGTGCCAGTAGGTATTTTTTGTTTCATTTTTCATTAGTTTAAATAAAAACCTCATGTCCGTCCTAATCACTCTCGCTCTTTCTCTCTTTCTATTGGATCACTAAAGATGTGTACAGGAAGATTTAATAAAACAGCAAAAAAAAAAAAAAAAAAAAGAAATATTTGTTAAAAAAAAAGAAAAAAAGAGCGAGAGAGATTAAGGACTGGGGGAGAGAGATAGCGTGTTTCATTCTGGTCACAAACTCCGAAACATTTTATTCTTCTCCTTCAACAAGTTGTTGTAGTACAAGAAGTTGTTTTCATAGTATTTATTACTTTTGTTGCTTTTGATCATCTGGTGTTTTATTTACAGAGTAGGAATAAAGAAGTTTGCTTCTTATATACATGGTTGTACCAATTGTTGGTCAGTGCGTCTGCGACGTCTAAAGTCCTGTTTGTCACAAGAACACACAGGAAGTTCGTTTCAGTCAAGCCTCAACCAGCAGCATACGAGGGAAGGGCGTGACCATCTCCACTTGCTGCCTGGTGGGAGCAAACTGAATACTCTCTTCAGACAATAACAAGGCAGTCACTTTGTTTTTCAAAGGCCTAAAGCAAACATCCAGAGTTCCCCAGTCAGAGGGGCATGGGCTCTCCTGCTCTGGATGGGAGGTACAGCGCCTCCTCAGTCTCTGTGTCCACCTGTCCTCCACCTCAGTGCACTTCTCGTTTTCAGCGAGACGAAACAAAGGCAACTACCTAAAAAGCTCGTCTTCACCTCTGATGTTCAGAAACAAGCACTTCTCAATAAGACCGTGTGTGTGTGTGTGTGTGTGTGTGTGTGTGTGTGTGTCTTGCGAATGTTCTAGTTTCTGCTCTGGCTCAATAAAATATTTTTGGCAACAACGAAGAGCTCTCTATGAGATGTTTCAGGTATCAGTGGTGTATAATATTCCCTGTCTCCACAGCTAACTACCCCTATCAAATGATGACCTGAAAAAAAAAGAGAACAAAATATTAAACAACATCCTCATCTCTGTAGGCCGGTCTGATGGAAAACTACATTAAAACAAATGGAACAAAGTTTTAAAGTTTCGAAACATCCGGGGGGGCGTTGGTACATTCAGAGTGCTGGACTGGCCTTGGGGTACCAGAAACTGGGGCTAGCCGAGGTTTGCCAGAGATAAAGAACTCTGCCAAAACCCCTCACCACTCATCTCTAGATGATGGGGGGAGAGTCAGCAGTGACTCCCCAGAAAAGTCTTTCTGTTTGCACATCTGGAAGTCAAATAAAAGTCAAGAGAAAGAAAGGCAACCAAACAAGCATCGAGTGGAGACACAAGACAGAGACTGGCTAAGAGGAGGCTCTGGCCATTACATCAGTCTCCTGCGTCCTGTTTCAGTCTCCAGTCACAGGCTGGTGACCAGTTGCATCTGTCCGTCTCCCTCATTGTGGACTGACTCCTGAGCCTGGTGTCCCTCCCCAATCGGTCTTTGAGATGGGGCCTGGTAGAAGGTCTGCATGGGGGCTCCACGAGAACCCAGGGCAGGCCGCCCAGAGCTGTAGTACAGCTCTTCAGGGGGCTGAGCTGAACGAGGAACTACCTCCAGTGGCTCAGGACTGCTGTCAGGGTAGGGAGAGTCTCGCAGGTTGGTGATGCTGGTGTACAGGGAGTCATGAGCAGGGGAGTCTGGCGCTCTGCTGCCCCCCTGCCCACCACTCTGACCGCTGTGGCCGAGGCTTTCCGTTAGGTCGGCTGTGTAGCTCTCCGACTCCTCTGGATCGCTCTGGTAGAGGACCGACTGGGCGCGTTGCAACAGCAGAGGTTCCTCCAGAGCTTTGTAAAGCAGCTCAACATCCTGCGGCGTTCGCTGCCGTTCATCTCTTAAAAACTCATCGTCTTCATCCAGACTCACTGAAGGTTCAGTCCCAGGAACAGTTGTTCCTCGACCGACCAGACTTCCATATGCTCTGTCCGTTAAGTCGCCTCCTCCACCCACACCACCTCTCAGATTGTTATGCACAAGCTCAGAGATGATCATTTTTTCAAAGGCGGCAGCGTCAGAGAGGTTTCGTCGGACGCCTCCGCCTCCCAGGGTCTCTGTGCTTCGGGGGTTGAAGATGGGCGGAGGAGTGTCGCCGCCTCCACTATTTAAGAAGTCACAGCTGCCCCCACCTCCACCCGATGGGCCGCTGCGCATGGAGTAGCTGTTGTTGAAGTTACCATTTAAGGGGAGGGTTTCCATTCCGCAGGGGTCACAGGGTTTAGAAAGGGTACTTTCTGAAACCAAAACAGGCAGAAAGATTTGACGTTATTTTAAATTGTGAGATTAAATCAGTAAAAAAGAAAAGTGAAATGTCAATCACCCTTACTTGGGTCACGAAAGGTTCCTTCACATCCCAAAGGAAGGCACGATGGGTGGGAAAACATAAAAGAACATGAGAAGAGGTCCTCATTAATGCAACACTATGAGATATGTTCTTTAAAAGAAGGAGACCTCTTATACTAATTATCTCCGTCTATCTCACATTCAATCAAATGTGCGGTCCCCTGACTCATTTTGCATCACATCCTCGGATATGTGCAGTTAGTCCAGTTTGTTTGACAGTTTTATTTTTCCAACAAGTTCCAGAGAATATCAAAAGTGTTCAGAAAATCTGGTCAGACACACACATACACACATGCTTTGACATGATCTTTGCATCAGGGCTGGGCGACATGGCCTCAACTTAATATCACCATATAAATGGTAAATGGCCTGTATGTGATATAGCGCCTTCTAGAGTCCTGGAACCCCCCAAGGCGCTTTACAACACAATCAGTCATTCACCCATTCACACACACATTCACACACTGGTGGGGATGAGCTACAATGTAGCCACAGCTGCCCTGGGGCACACTGACAGAGGCGAGGCTGCCGAGCACTGGCGCCACCGGTCCCTCCGACCACCACCAGCAAGCAAAGTGGGTTAAGTGTCTTGCCCAAGGACACAACGACAGCGACAGACTGAGCGGGACTCGAACCTGCAACCTTCCGATTACGGGGCGAGCTCTTAACTCCTGTGCTGAACAGTTCGCCTTGATAATGATAAACGGACGATAGCTGCCCACACAGCAGCAGTTAAAGGGAAATGTGAAGATGGTGGATTTGGTCGAGGAGATGCCTTTTCTCACAAAAATCCTTCAGCAACCGTTTGGCAACAAATTTGGATTCAGTGACTGCCATCACCTGCTGGCCCCGCCTACTGCTTCAACATTTTAATCATCCTCCGTTTCCTCACAGTCTTTCCCTTCTTGTCACAGACCAGCTGCAGCACAGCATCTTAAAGTTGTGATTTACTTGTTAATTCAATACATCTGTAGTGTTCTCTAGTGTAAATCAATGCCTCACGAGTCTTTAAAACACCTATGATGCTCCTGTTCTGAGATGCAGAAGTTTGCTGGTGCAGGCTGAAAACAGCAGCATTACTCATTATTAATGATGTGCACACACCTCACTTCTGATTGGACAACAGAACGTGTCCAGCCATGTTACAAAGACACTCTCCGCTCTCTCTCCTCGCTGCAAAATTGTTTGAATGAAAAAGCCTTCATGTGGGTGGGAGTGAGCCTAATGGGCGGGTCCGTGGATGCAGTGTGACATAGATATGTGAAGATTTTCAAATCCTAGAGTTTCACTGTCTCCATTCCATCAGAAGCTAAAGCAGAAAAGATGTGTTGGAGACTGCTTTCATGTTTGGCCTGCATGAAAAACTATGATTTTTCTGATTATAACCAGCTGTGAGCTGATTATAATAGTCATTAAAACGGTTTATTTCAGTCAGCCACACCTTTAACATTCAGGATTTTAGCTCTTTTAAGATCCAGAGCTTTGTGTAGAAATGAGCAAAACTCAAAAGAGGAAACTAATAAACTTTATCTAAAGTATTTATGTCTTAAACTACTAATATAAAATACTTCACGTTTAGTACATCTCTAAATGGCTACCAAGTCGTATTTTTTATATGGTTATGGTCTCTTTTTAGAGGCTGCAGCATTATTTCTGCAGCAGACACAACAGAGAGTGTTTACTGAAAGGTTTTGCTGTCATCAGCTTTGCACACTGTCAGCTCAGTCCAGACTGATTCTAATTGGTGTGCAAAGCAGATAAAAATGTCTTTGTTTTCTTTACAGTTTATAGATGACATCACCAGGACTTTGCATTTGATTCACATAAACCATATCAGATCTAAATGACCCCCCTCCCCCCCCAATATTCATTATTTAGGCTGAATTAAAATGAACGTCTAATTTACAAACCCTAGCACAGAAACAGCGATGTTTATTTTATGAATTTCCCTCCACAGAGAAAGAAAATGCTGTGTGCCATCTCATCAGCAGCAAAAGAAAAAGCTACAGCTCCCTGGAAACAAGGCAGTGTGTTCGTTTTAAAAATTTAATGTGCAGTTTGACTTTAATCAACGTTCTTCTATGGTGGCTTTGTGGCTAATTAGACAATCTAATGAAGTGCTGTTTCTGGCCTCTACCACTCTTTTCTAAAAATGACTTGGCTTGTGGGCCTGTGGCCATCAGGCGTGATGTATCGTACAGAGAGGTTTTAAAATATTTAACAGAAAAGACGCCTTCAATTCCTGTCCTCAGACACCAGACCAGACACTCTGAGTGCAAACTCTGTCAGCATAAAGAGTCATAGAGCTCATATTTGTACTGATAAGAGCCAATTAACAGAACGAGTCTAAATCTGCTGTTCCAGGTTCCAGACGTGAGAAGACTGCAGCTCTCACCATGAGCACATGTGACTGACCTACGTCCAGATGGACAGTTCCTCACCACAGAGCTGTCTGATCCCTTTCTATGGCCATCACATTTTGAGCCAGCTTTTCTGTTGATTTATTTATTTTTTTGCTTTTTGGGAACAGGAGAACCATTCTCAAGAAAGCTGGCAGTCACTAGCCTGGCAAGCCAGACTAAATAAATGTATTATTTAGTCTGGCAACGCTCCATTGACGGCTCTCGGTTGTGGGGCGGGTTCTACCGTTGTCTTTCAAATGATCTCCACATCCTACTGGACAATGAATGTGACGTACTCTTGTTTCACTCTGTTGCATCATCCCACCCACCAGGCATATAGAGTGCCCTGATTGAGCCACAAAGCGGATAAAGCTCTGTGATTTGTTCACTAAGCAGATAGAGCACTATGATTGGCCCACCATTATGGACCAATCACAGCTCTTTATGTGTTTGAAACCCCTCTAGAGAGCTGTGATTGGCTAGCCAGAGTCCTGGTAGGAGCTGCGGAGGTTCCAATGGAGCGTGCCTAGACCAAACGTTGCAAAGCAAGAATTTGGTCTAGTTCACTAGGCTAGGCAGTCACAGCTGTAGCTGAAACTGTGGCCGTTCTCATGGAGACGAGATCTGACTAGATGGCTGGTTAGGCTGAAGGCACTACTTGGCTCTGTTCTGCTCAGCCTACCGGATCCGTCCGACAGCTACATAGTCTGGGGAAAGGAAAACACACACACACATACATACATGCAACAAACCCTCTCACACACAATGCAGACACTCGGCGGTGGTAAGTGTGCACATAGCATGCCAAACGTCTGACAGGGTAACCGAGAGAAGGACAGCCAGCTGACTTCATGTTACATGTACGTGTGCGCTGACGGGCCCGCCCACACTGACTCAGGTGTTTACGAGGACCTAACCTGTGGAGTTGAACACTCCAGGTGAGGGCGGGGTGAAGCTTTCAGCCAGCAGAGTGTTGTACGGAGACGTGCCAGAGCGATTCTGTAGCACCGGGTTGGTCAAAAGGTGGTTGCCCATGGTCGCTGCAAAACACATGCATTTCAAAGATGAACACAACCATAAATACGATCATAAATGTGCCTCAAACGTTTGCAGCGTACAGACAGAAAACGAGCACACAGTAGGTGTGACGTTCTGAAATTCTGACTCTAATGACATCTGAAGTGGTTACAATATTTACTGTTTACCCAGATGGGGCTATTTTATCATGCCGTTTCGTTATGGAAGAATGCATTTCACAGTTTTCTCCTCCGTGTTTACGCCCGCTGATTGTAACCTTTGAGCCAAAAGGAAAAAGAAAAAAAAAAGAAAACCAATTGCAGGGGATGGGTACTGTTTAAAACATGGCCATTCTTATTCTTCTTCCTTCTCCACCTTTGGTTCCTGACAATGTAGTCAGATGTGGGAGAACAATAATGCATGCCATTATGTAGTCCAAGGGTGCAGTCATGGAAACACAGTTAATTTCACAGTGAAATGTGAATGCCACTACAAGACAAATATAATTCAAAGAAATGGCACACTGAGAGGGTTGTATAATGCCCATGTATGTTGCTAGCCGGAGGCAACTCGAACAGAAATGCCATGAAATTAAAAATAGGACAGCATGACAGAGAGTCGTCCAAGGCAAAGTGCAACCTTCAGGTCCCCTGCCTACCGTTCATCACACAGCGAGGGAGAAGGCAACTCTAAAACAGAAAAAAGTGCTCACACACAAAAAATGTGCTATTTATTTATCATTCCCCCTCCTGGTATACTTCCTCTGTCCATCTCTCTGGCATTGAACACAGGCCCGTCTGCGTTCCTTCTCTGGCTTGCTCTGCTGCATCGTCTCCAACAACTTTTCTCAGTTCCTAGTGCCAGGTTTTATTTTTTTCAAACATGACCAAATTAGTTAGGATTAGCTGTCTGTGCGTATCTCCTTATGGGAATATCTAGCTGAAAATAAAGAAATGAGTTGTTAGTGTGGAGAAAAGTACTGGGCACTATACAGTAACACCACCAGGAAGGGGCTGTGGCTCAAAGAGCGGTAACACACTCCTCCTCCAGACTACATAACTAATACTCACCGATGGTAGGTGACCATGCGGATGCTCTATTCTTTAACTTTGTGCCAAACGTCTGTCATTTGCTCTGCAGATAAAGTGACCCATCATCTCCTCTAGCCCTGTTATTGCTCCGTCACGGTGAAAAGCACCAGAAACCAGCCCACCGCGCCGCACCGAGACACACACAGACATAGACACCTCTCATCCATCCATCTCACTCACAGCACACCTTTTCCTCACCCGTTGCCTTGCTCCTGTCTCTTTTCTCAATTAGAATAATTACCCCCTGTTCGCTCACACGCTAATCAGTTCATTAAAAACAAAATGGATGAAATTAGCATAGAGAGTGACGGCTGATTTAGCAACTGCCTCGGCGTCATGATCAACACCCCCGCCCCCACCCCGATCACCACCCTGATCCAACCTTGATGGTCTCAGGTCACTGAGTGCAGCCACCCTGACACCGCCGGTTGCCGAAGCTGAGCCATTAGGCCATTTGTAACTCTGGTGAAGTAAACAGGATACAGTGGTGGAAATAAACATATTCTATGGGGGGAAAAGAAGCTCATTCAGACACTTTTTATTTTATCTAAATGTTTTTCCTTCATCACTTTCTAAGAGTTCTTAAATGAAGCAACTGGGACAACGAAGTGTTAAGTGGAAGTCGCCACAGAACTTTTTCTGGCAGCAAAGTGAGGTGGGAAAGTGTTTTTGGGCTCAGCCAAGTAGCTTGACTATCTTCCTTAAGTCCAGTCATGTGTAGACTGCAGAAGCAGATTAATGACTCAATCCCACAACAAGAGGGATTATAATGAAACAAACCACATCGTTTTCAGGTGATAGCACTAGATATCTGCTTTAAGTAAAATAAATCCCAACTCTGTAATACTGTTGTGTGTCTGCCTACACGGCTTCAATATTCTCTACAAATGTTCAGATTTGATTTTGAATAGCCCCTCCTGTTCACTTCTAAATAAAATAAATCATGTTGCATCAGCTACATATGACACGCTGAACATTACAAACTTCACACGTTGTTATTTTTTGCTGATTAAATCAAACTTTCAGAGGTGCAGTTGGTCCCAGTTGGATGACAGAATTTTAAATTTTCTGATAAAAACTTATGACAAAAAGAAACCATTCATATGTGAGGTTTTTGGATGATGGCGGCTCAGGAGTTTGCCCCGTTAGCTGAGGCTTCTGGTTCCTACTCCAGGCTCTGACCGTGCCTGCTGCTGCTGGCGGTCCGAGGAAACGTGGTGCCGATTGCACAGGTCAGCGCGCCCCAGGGCAGCTGTGTAGCTCATCACCATCAGTGTGTGAAGAGAAAAGCCTCTTTTATAAGACAGACCATCGCCTCATTACAGAGTGATAAATCTGAATTTGTGGGTCTCGTGAATGCGGCAAGGAGCAAAGGGGAAAGGCGATAAAACTCGATTCTGATGCACTTAGCCTCGTAGTAATATTGCTGCAGCCCCGCTAATCCCCGCAAAAGAGGGTGGTCGCGTTAGTGACGTCTACAGCGCGCCGAGTGCCGGCCAGAAGGGATATAAACACAGATAAACATGGCCTCTCAATAGTATCTTTCAACCACCTACAACGTGGCAAACTGGACGGATGCGGACGCCATGGAGCTTTTGGCCGTGCGAGCGGACGAACAGATTAGTCGCCTTTTTACGGGGACGGTGAGAGACAGCCAGCTGTTCGACAGCGTGGTGAAAACACTGGCTGAGCGGGGCGTCAAGTTGGACAAAGAGCAGGTCACATCAAAGCTAAAGGTCCTGAAAAAGAAATTTCATCAGTCTGACGTGTCTTCCGGCCTTGTAAGTCACATGCGGGGGGTGGGGGGGGGGGGGGGTGCCCAGCGACCTCCCTTCATCCCGTCTTGGTTTCAGAGGTGCCCGATGGCAGTTTATTCTAGCTCCAGCTTTGCTACTATAAATGCCAAAATCCTCCCCAGGGGGCCGCACCAAATCCCGTTTTGCAAATGCTATGGTCCTGTAAAACAGCTAGAGAAAGCCCCCCCCCCCCCCCCCGATTTCTGAAACAACAGTCAGTCAGCCACACATTCAGATAGTGCTAATGAACCACAGCAGCCCCTGGGCCATCTGACCGATGCTATCGCCAACAGATCATAAAAGATGCCATCCCCACATTTCTTCTTTAACTAATTGTTTCATCTTTATGATCATAAAATGTGTCTGGCAGCGGTTAAGTGTGAATAGCAGGCTGGAGGAGAAAAGAGCAGTCTCACCTCTGTTGAGTGTCGGGGTGCTGTTTATGTCTCCTGCCATGAAGGAGGATTCTGTCTGCTTTCGAACCGTGTCGTTCCACATCCTACGAATCCGACTCTGGAGGAAGTAACAGAGCGCAGTGAGAGGCAGGATCCACACAAGCATAATAAATATAGCAACCCGACGGGTGGATTCTGTAACTCTGTGGGGCGCCTGTAATCAAAACGGTGAGGCTCACTAATCCACAAAGAACAACTGACAAACACGTCAGACAACAGAGGCTCGGGTAAAGAGGCACACGCCTTTCCTACGTTGTCATGAGGAGGGCTAATGAGCTTGAGAGGTGTAGTACATGATTGCTGCAGCAGATACAATTGTTGCACAGCATTGCATTGTGGGAAAGTTTGTTTGTTGGTTGTGGGAACTCCTTAGAAGTGTTAGTGTGGCAGCAGCATGTGCAGCATCTACGGACGAAGGATCCTGACTTTTTAAACACGTCTTTATAAACGAGTCATCCTTGTTGCTGAGCGCATGTCTGCCAGCTCTGGAGAGTTAAACGTTACATTTCACTAAAGAGACAAATGTTCTGACTGACTGAGCTGGATATGTTTGGATAGTTAATAAATGAACAGGTTGACGGGTGCATCAGGATGCTACACACTTTGTTGCCATGTCACTGAGAACAAATGCATCGCCAACGCATCATTTGCTGTGCATATCCCTCCACTGTGAGGCTGACAGGTGAGTTGAATAAGTAAATTCAGGTGCTCTAGAGGGCAATCAGTCAGTCATCTGTATTGATTAGGAATCAAACCCCTGCACATAAAGTCAATTTGTACCTCTGAATCTGACGTAATGGACCTTTTATCACTTTTGGCAGTGTTCTAAAAATGTCACATGCAATCAAGGAAATAATCTGAATCTGAAGATAGATTTTTCATTTTCTTCGGCTGAAAAAGGCGCTTGGGTTCAAGTCAAATCACCTCTCCACAAAGGCAAATTTACTTCTCATTTGTTCGGAGGAAAACACTTTTAAATGTGAACACAGTGTTGGTCTCGGCGGTGCTTAAAGGCACGGGCTCGGGTGGCTTGGTGTGCTGTTGTGCAGCATGTGGGTCTGTCCTGTCTGCACCTGTCTGTGGGCCGCTGCGTGGCGAGCTTGGCTGCCACTGTAGTAGCGGTTGTTGGCACGCAGGCCGGAGTTCTTCAGGGAACCGTGGGAGCTGTTGTTGGAAGTGCGGCTGCAGCAGTAGGAGTGACGCAGACATTTACTGTACTCCTTATGGACCTGTAAAAAAATAAAAGTAAAATCAAATAAAACCACAGGCAGATTGGGCTGAGTCGCTTAAAAACACAAACACTTAGTTTCAGTTGGCTGAACTCACTCAAAGTAGAACAAGAAAGTATTTTTGCTGCACATTTACGACTAAAAATGCACACTTCATCTATTCATTTTTTCTTTGGAATAATCCTAAACCATTATTCTCTCAGGACTAATCCCCACTACTACCTTCTTTTGCAGTGCACAGTGGAAGATGAAGATGAACATGCCCTGGAAGGCGTTGAAGGTGGTGAACAGATAGGCCATGATCAATGTTTTCTCGTTGATAAAGAGGAGACCAAACGCCCATGTGAGTCCAAGCAAGAACAGCAGGACAACGGCCCCCAGAGCCCACGACCTAAAGCAAACAGACAAAGAAGCATTTAGAGTAGCCAATCCGAAGCTTTTCTGATGGTGAGGTATACTTAAATAAGAAAAAGCCAAGCAGGGAATGAATAATTTAAACTCACTTTATGTTATCCAGGCGGCTTGAGTCAGGCTTGAGTGCAGAAGAGTTGCGTATCATCTTATGAAGAGTGATCATGAGGAAAATGAGGTTGAGCTGAGGACAGAAGGCACGGGAGGTAAATAAATCTGCACTAAGCTGGACGGTTTGAACATATTGAATTTGGATTATTAATATTCTCCAAGAATACTCAAAGCAGAAGACTATTAGTTTGAGTGAGTAATGATAAAAGGAAGGGAAATAATACTGTTTGATGAGCTAATACCATAATAACAAATGAAACAGGTCCAATGAAGCTCCAGATGAAGTGGTTATCCACTCGCAGCCAGCACCTGGAGAGGAGAGAGAGTCATATACAACTCAGGAACACACACACACACACACACACACACACATTGGCAGACATGTGCACACTACTTCTACGTCTCAGAGGATTATCTTATGAAGGCTAATCATCGGGCTTTTGCTAAGAGTGTTCAGAAAACCCAGTCTGTGGGGAGGCCCGAGAGCCATTCACACAGCACTGCATATTACATTTCCAGCTGGGGGAATAACGTAATCCTACTTCTCAATCTGCAGGTGCAAAAGGCCTGTCTTCACACGTACGCTTTCTTGGTCCCATAGCTCCTGTAGTCTATGGCTGCAGAGATGCCCACCACCAGTGCGGGGAGGCAGTAGCCGCACAGATAGTAGTACTTTTTGCGTGAGTACTCGCTCTCAAAGACCTCCACGAGCATGAGATAGAGTTGCACAGCCTCCAGACACATCCAGGAGAAGGCAGCCAAGAAGAAGAAATGAAGAAGGCCAGCAAAGATTGGACAGGCAATCTGAAGGTGGCAGCCAGGGACAGAGTCAAAAGGAGAGAAGAAGAGGAGGAAAAGTTAGGATGAAGGAGAAACCAATAAGACTAAAGCATGTAACCATCAGAGGAGGAGAGAATGGGGTCACTATCAGGTAGAGCTGAACAATAACATGGGAAATAAATGAATAATTGCCCCCAGGACGACTGGTTCTGTGCACAGCATTGAGCTGTAAACGTTTAACAACATTCGTTTTACTTTCCCAGTCGTGCACTAAAAGGCTCCTGCTAGGATGTAAACATCACTTTGTGTTTGATGCATGAGCAAATGAGCTGGAAACTTGTATTTACGTTCAAAAACGCAGGTTCAACATGTCAGGTCAGTCAAAAAGCATAAGTAGTTGTAATGCTGGGGCTTCAAAACTCACATGGTATTCAATCTTGTCGATCCCGATGAGGAAGAGCAGCTCGGCGATGAAGAGGTTGATGCAGAGGTTTTTGTGGATTGTGTTGCGGTCAGTCTGCAGACCCCGCAGGAAGCAGAAAGTGGAGATGCAGATAGCTAGACACACCAGGGAGATCACGATGCCCACACAGGTGATCACGAAAAGCATCAGTTCGTGCATCCGGTCCTGTTGTTCAGGTTTGGGGTGTGATGGTGAAAAAAAAAGAAGAGAGACGGAGGTTGAAAGTGTGAAGACGAAAATTAGACGGGAGATATAAAACCCACCAGTTCCACCAGAAAAGAGACACATTTAGAAGGAAAAATAGTGGAAGGAGAATGGTGGGATGGGAGATAAGCAGCGGAAACAAAAGACGGATGGTTGGAGCGAGGGGGAGGGAAGAGAAAGAGCCAAATTGCCTTATTTAATATTTGTAAATATATGCAAGGATCTAACGTGTGAAGACAAGAGAAAAGACATCCTGAAAAAAAAAACATGACATTTAAATTCATGTGAATGTCAGCTGGAAGTGGTGGGACATGAATTTGTAAGCCGGTGCCTCCTTGAATGTCAGCGTGAACGGAGGAAAAGAGAAAATCCAAAACAAAGAGCTTGTCAGCCTTGAGAGGGAACATTATTGTGCATGCGTGTGAGGGTGTGTGACTGAGCAGCGAGTATCTGAATAAATTACCCCACTTCCATTTTAAATGCCACGCCCTTGTTTACTTACATCGGGTTCGTGGTGAGCCATGAGCACGGCGAAGTTGGTGAGGTGGCTGCAGGAGCACGTGGTGTGTGTGCTGTTTGCATCCAGCAGCTTGCAGCCCTGGGAAGACCACTGGCCTGTCATGGAGCGCTCCGAGTAGTTCCAAAAGGAGCAGTTTGGAGTGTAGTAACTCTTCATCTGTGGAAGGCAAACAAAGGAAAATGGAGGCAGACGGCATCGGACATTAACTCAAAAAGTCAAATCAGGAACATGTTACCTTGAGATGCTTGAGTGTGAAGATCACTGGCTGAGTGAGGAAGACCCTGCTGGACTCCTTGTTGATGGAGGCTGCAATTACGTGAGAGTTTACCGCCAAGCTCTTCCTCTCCAGGTTTGTTCCATCCGATTCCATCTTCACTGTAGCGTTCTCGGTGGACAGGAAGGATCCCAAATTTTTATACAGGATGAACACCACCTTTACTTGTCCTGCAGAGTGAGCAGAGCCCCAAAGAGCAGGAGAAACTAAACGGAAGAGTAAAAATGAATAATAAATGGCGAGAAAAAGGCAGTTGTGACACGAAAAAGGAACGGCAGATAAAACGGTACATAGGGAGGGGAGAGGTGGAATGAGGAAAATGTTGAAATGAGGCATAATATGGTAACGGCAGCAGCAGTGGCAGAGATGGAGACTGACGGGGCGAGTGAATGGGGAGATGGAGAGAGAGAGTTAGTGAAGGTTAGAATGACGGTAAGCACCGTTTCATTTTGACTGCTGGAAGAGAGCGAGATTTAATGTGGAGGGCAATGGAACATTCATCCCTCAAGCATTCACAGATCTCTTATTATTCCATATGAATATTTCATGTGGGTTTGTTTCAATCATTCTAATCTGGTTCCCACTGCAGAGCCAAGCACAGGCAGGAAACAGAGGAGGGGTGGGGGGGCGGGTGAGGATGACAGAGGGGAGGGGGCCTGGAAACAAGAGAGACGTGACGGAGGGATAAGATGGTGGAAATTCTGAGCGAGGGAACGGGAAGAGGAGAGGGAGTGCTGAGATTGCTCTGTCAGGCTGGGGGGCCGATTGTAATCTACACGCTTCCCCAGCTATTCTGTTAAGAAACCCTCAAGAAAAGAAATTGTCTCAGCGCTTTTGTTAATCTGATTACGCTGTTGTTATGAACCAATAACTTAGTCAACTGCATGCAGATTTTTTTAAGTTGGGACAGAAAAGCAAATGAAAATGGAAGCGAGGACAGGACGGCGGAGTTTCGATGGGCGAGGAAGAGGAGGGGAGAGGGATGCCGACCGTTGCGACTGTACTGCTTGATGGTGGACGCTGAGAGCTGGATGGTGCTGTCGCTGACATAGTTCTCTGGAAAGGACAAGTCCTGCAGGTCCATCTCTGTGTTGACGACATGCACCTCCAGATCTGGTGTTGGAAACACAGATTAAAATTTGTATCCAACAGGTGTACAGCCACTAAGGAGGAAGATTAGAGCCATAATCTGGAGGAACAGATTACATTTACAGGGTTCTAAACAGCAGTACTCAAAATCGTTTTTACTGTTTTCATACCAACGCTGGGGGCTCGATCGGAGAAGCGATTCCCGTACATGTTGTTAGCCAGCAGGAACGCTCCCTTTTCCAGAACATCCAGTAACATGGTGGCAGTGTGGGCCTGCTCTGAGCTGTTCATGTCCCGCCACGACTCCAGAGCCTCCCAACGGAGCAAGTTATCCACCGTCTGAACCACCGCCTGGTGCACGGATTCAAAGGAGCACTTCTCAAAGACTCTTATAGATTATATAATAAAGCAAACAAAAGCTAAGAAAGGTTCCTAACAGATAACTCATCTGCGGTTAGCGGCACGGTGTGAATATTTAATAAAGCGAAGTTAAATGTTTTAAATCTGATGTACTTCCTGCCATGGACGTAATTTTGGGGGGGGGGGGGGGCAATGACCCCCCCCCCCCCCACTTTTTCCAAAGTCAAGGTTTGACCCCTGCACTTTTTACCATCCAAAAACAATATTACGCTATATTAAATTGACACTGGTTGAGCCCTAGGACCAAGCAGAAAACAACCGTTTGTGTTGAAGCCTGTTTCCCATTAGAGCATACTGTAAAGATACCCCCCCCCCATGCCCCCCCCCCCACTTCTAAAATTACATCCATGCTTCCTGCTTTAACTTACTTGTGTGAACAAACGATTGATGACTGATTATACAGCATATAGATGCATCCCTACAGCTCATAATAACATGCGTCTAACAGGACATTAATGATTATTACCTATCGGATTTGCGCTGATTAACATCCAGTTCTGAGTGAACTCAATGCTGGATGACTAATTATCAGAGTCTGGTTCATTAACACGTTTTCTAACAGTCTGTTCTTGGTTTTCAGGAAGTGCTGTTAGCTATTAATTAGCCATCATTAATTATCAGTTTGGTCCTGATTTGTTCATCACTGCCTTTGTAATGATTCTTGTTGGGTGCTGCATTGTAAAGGCAGTCTTTACGTCTACCGTAATTATAATATCCTAGAAACTGTCCTGCAACACATTTATTAAGATGCTACGTCACACGTATCACCATTCTATTTCACACTTACAATTCATTTAATGGCAATTTTGATGGTTGTATCAGCTATCCAATTTATTGGAGTAGCCTGCTTGATGAATCATGTAATTCTCTTGCTCGGACCTCTCAAAATGAGGGATTGACTGCTGTGTGAAATAAAGGCCATTGCTGTTAAGAAAATGAATCGAGCATCAGAATGCACTACTCGCTGCAGAGGAGGAAAAAAGGTCCGAAGGTGTTTGTGCTTTATCCTTGGATCAGTGGGTATTGCACTAAACTACTTTGCAGCAAGTGACACAAAATAATGGCTCAGTAACACTCGTCGCAGCACGCTTTACATTCATCTCTCACCAGCTGGGATCAGGAGATGTGGGGTCACATTACAGTGTGATGCAGCGAGGTCACGACATCTAAAAGGCTGCATGCTGCAGAGTGCCACCTTTCATCATTACAAGGAAGCACACACAAAGCCTTAACTTGATATTAGATAAGAGCTTTCTCAGGGCCACAGATATTGCATATATATTGAAAAAGCACACGGGTGTCGTAAGACAAACTGTTGCTTTTCATGCTATAGGCAAATCAGATTTTCTCAGAGCAAGATATTGTATCTTATTGTTCAACATGATGAGGCCAAGGCTGATGTTATGCATTTTCTGCTGGCGATACCGCACTTCAGCAAAGCCAAGATTAGGATGTAGACAGGCCACTTCTTCATTAGCTGAGCCCCACACTTCAAACGTTCACGATGTACAAGATGAGCAGTTGAAAAACTATAAATCGGCTTTGTCTAATCTGGGAAACATTTAAATATTTAAACGCAGCGTGGGATGTCTGGAACAATTCCAAATTTCTCTCAAGCTGTACCTCAGATCGCACCAGAAGTTTTAAAAGTGGCAATTCTAAAGTCAGAATCCATCAAAAATACCAAGCTAAGTGAATATTATCCACAAAATGTGTCTGCTTCCAAATTTATCTTGCCAAAGTTATAAGTCACAAAAGCAATTCTATTCCAGAAATGCAAAGCAGGCAGATAAAAGAAGAAAGCTACCTGGATAAATGCCCGACATGTCTGCTCTCGCTTCTGGTACTGGAGGGGGGAAAACAAAGCCCGGAATTATTCAACTGAACAAAAAATAAAAAGCAGCATTTGGAAGGTTTATCAGTACATGCATGTGGTCTACAAACAATTTACATCAAGCACAAGGTTGCTTCAAAACACTCCCCGGAGCATGTGTTGTACCACACCTTATTATAGTTTCGCCCAGCGGACTCTTTCTTCCCCGGTCTCAGGGCCTGAAGCTGGGCATCCAGGATATCCAGCAGCTGCTCGATCAGCCGGACCGATGAGATGACATCTCCAGCTTGGATCCGACCTCTTGTGTGGTTCACCAACTCGCCAGCTATGTTAGCGGCATTCTCCCCACTCTTTATCTGTACAAGAGCAGAAAAAACAGACAGATTCATCAGCAAACTATGCAAAAGCATCACACATGGTCCATTCGTGACTGCTGGAGCTCCATCATCCACGAGCTCTTTCGCTGCGAAAATCAGCAAACGCTCACAAAGAAAATCCTTGAATGTTCGCTGAGGGTTTTTGTGCTTCCCTCTCATTGTTAGGCTATCCTATATCCTTGTAAACAAAGATTGACTGTGCAGAGCACATCATGAAGTTTTTATTATTCTAAGCTCTTTTTCACTTGCAAATTGCAACCTTGCAATTGCAATTGATTTTTGCCAAAAGGGAGAGTTTATAATGGCTCTTTCCAACACCACTTATTTTCAGAAGGATGCTGCTTACCTTTCAAAACACACGCATGGGCTAAAGAACAGGAACTCTGGAGAACAGCACACCTGACTAAATAATTAGGAAGAGCAACTGTTGTTTTGACGGGTATCTGTAATAACACGAGTTAGAAATGGAACAGAGTCTGACAGAGAACATGATGTTTAGCTGCTGCACAAGTGAAACAGATTCAAACTGACTTCAGTAAAAGTGAAAACTAATGAAAGTCTGACGCCAGAGCTCTGCTGCGAGACAATGAACTTGATTATAAAATAATTGAGCCAAGTTTTAATCCAACTGTATTGGTGGGAAACATGGAGGTGATTAAACATCATGAGCAGAAGCCTTGTAATAAAAGGTCTCTATTTTAATCAGGACAGCCTTGGAGGTATGCTAATGTTTCATTGTGGGTGGACAGGGAGGCTGTCCAGGGCAGTGGGGCAGAGGAATGGGGATGGAGCCAAGGCCAGAAAGCGCCTCACCTTCTGTGCCACCTGGTTGACCCATGGGGAGGTGCAGTTACTCAGGTCAGGGCCCCGCGAGTTCCAAGTGACCTCATCTGCCAAGCACTGGAACGAAGCAATGCCTGGAGAAAAGCAGGAGAGAAGTGGGGTGAGAGATAATAAGCATTAGGACTCTGCAATTAAAGGGGTCGGTTCAAATGAGAGGAATGAACACAGAAGGTGTTGTGATTTTAACCTAGAAAATGATAAAATAGTGTTTGGAGATGAAGGATGCTGGGGAAATAAAATCCAGTTAGATGTATTAAACAGCATTTGAGCATAAAAAGAGAGATGGAGGACATACTGTACATACATAAACGTGTTTTCTCTGAAGACGGTGACGCAAGAAAAGAAATCACGTACGATCCCTTGCTGTCAAATAAAGACACCTGAATGGAAGTGCCTTCCTTCAAACCTCATTTCTAGCTGAGCGTCTCAGGTCTGCATGAGGGTTCAGAGAAAGGACATCATGCAGGGATAAAGCTGGGGAGGGTCTACGCGCTGCAGCTTAAACAAATTCCCAGCATCTCATGGAGACAAAGAGGACGTGGACCTCAGAGCGCAAAGACAGAAGGAGATTGGAAGAATAGAGATGACAAACGAAATGCAGCAGTGCTTCATGGCAGACGTGGACTTGTCCTCCCTCCTTTCTTCCTATTATCAGCAAACAGATTTCTCTCATTTCACATCTTCTTTACACTCAACTTTATCGACCACAGAAGGGATTCGAGCGCGCTGCCTAGATGAGCAATTAAGGCCGCTGCTAATTCAACGCACATAAAACACAAAGAAAGCAGAAAAAGTCTCACTTTGGAGAGAAAGATGGAGGTAGACGCTGCTTTTGTGCGACAACAGGGAGGTTTTTATTGTTACGACTGGATGTTTAGGAGAGTGGCAGCTACTGGGGAGAGAAATAAAGCTCGTGTTTGTGGTCTTTCACTTCGTTATTTGCCGCTTTCAATCGGCTCTGTTTCTGTGGGAGACGAGTCTTTGGCTTGTGGAGGATGAGCTTTTATCTGCAAATCCTCAGAGACTGCGCCCGCTGGTGGGACCAACACAGGGACAGAAGTAGACAACAGTGGGAAAAAAAACCAAGCAGGGGAGCACAGACGTACAGCCTGTGTGGGTCTGTGCTTGGTTCTGTCTGGCAAAGACCCACGTGGTTGGAGGATAATACATTACAGGGACAATTGAAATACTTTTAGGGAGCTGAAAGTCAGCACAGGTGTTTCCATATGGAGAGATATTCTTACCCAGAGATCCTTTGGGACACGGTCGATCCACAGTTTCTCCTCGCTGGGTGGATGGCCACTGAATGCCACGGTCCTGCTTGGACTCACAAAAATACCGTTCTGGGTATTGAGGAGGGAGAGGTGGACGGCGTGTGACAGGGACGGTGGCCGTGATAGGACGCAGATCTGGATGTTTGTTGATGGGGCCGATTGGTCGCGAGGTAGGGGCAATAGGACGGGCAGTGGAGGGGCTGGCACTGGAGGTGAACGGCCTCGCTGGAGGAGTAGTGGTCACTTGAGTGGTTGTCAGAGGTCCTGCAGTGACTCAAAAGTCATTAAACACACACACACACACACACACACACACACACACACACACACACACACACACACACACACACACACACACAAAAGGTCAGGACAGTGAAGGACATGAATGAGATGTCTCTCAGAGGCTGAGCTCAAAAGCTGGCTTCAGAGTAACGAGGGTGACAAACACTTGTTAAAGCCTGTCAAAGCACCCTCTCCAAAGCAAAGAGGAGATGCAGAGGTGGAGATCGCATGTGCGTCTCATCGCATTTCAGGGTTGGATACATATTTTATCGTCTGTATCAGCGAAGTCACCAACACTAACAACCAAACCTAATGTAAAGATGAAAGCAAGGCACCACAACTACAAAATCCTGAAAGATCAAACGCAGAGTTAGCACACGACTCAGACAGCGCTGCTGCCAGCTTGTCTCTCTTGATGCCTATATCCAGCTTAATTCTGGGCTTTACGCTACTAAAGTGTTACAGTAAATTCAGACGGATCGACTGCTGCAATGCTGCATGCCACGCTTGTTTCGCCCACCCCCTGCCGCCTTACAGTGATTGTTTTATTATGTGTGACACGATGAGGTTTATATGAAAAGGTATGACAGTCCCATCTAAAAGGCTCCTCTAGATTATCATCACTGCTGAGGATAATAAGTTAATATTTCAGGAATTCAAATGTCAGACAAACAATTTCTGCACAGCCGATCAAAACTATTGTCTGATCAGAAAAAAGCATCATTATGTGTTTCAGCTGTGACTCACTTAGGCTGACAGAAGTGAAAACAAGGCTAAACACCTCTCTGACAGACCAAATACAGGACTCTGCTTCATAATGTCATGTTGAATACACATGAAATAATAAACACAATTACCACAGATTCTAACATGATTCATAGAATAAAAAACATAATCTTTTGTTGATTTTAGGTTAGTTTTCCGTAGGATTTCTTACCAACAGTGGGATCTGGTGGTCCAAATTCCAGCGGGTAGCGCAGAGCATAGTAGTTGTTCCATACATAAAGCTGGTTGTCTCGAGGGTTGTAGTCCACAGAGGAAACGTACTGGTAAGGGTTTGGGAAGGGGATGTTGACGGTTTCCTCGTGTGCGCGGTTGGTGTTGTAGGCATACATGATCAGGTCGCCTCCTGCTTCGCTGTCGTCATCCTGGTAGACTGAGCGCACCGCGTAAAGCACGCCGCAGGCCATGAAGGCGTTGGAGGCCATCCTCTTGTCAAAGCTGGTCTCCCAAGTGCCTTCAAATCTCAGCGTGTAAGGGTTGACCTGCAGACGCCAGAAAAGGCTGGACTTGGTTTAATGAACTACAGAATTTAAATAGACCAATTAGTTAGCTTCTTTAGTCACATTTTCATTCAACGAGCTCCTAATGCGTTTATCGATTTGCTTTTTCTATTTGTTTCTTTTAATTGACCTAAATATTTTTAAGAATGTCTGAAAATATAAATCTTTTAGGCTGCTGCAGCTAAACGGTTTCTTACGTGACTGGAATACATTCTTGTTGTTACAGACCAGCTTACAGTGGGAATCTGTTTATTTATTTATTTGACATGTTCAGATTCATAAAGTCAGGAGATAAAATACACGTTCTAATTGGCTGTCATTTTGGTCTCACTTTTATTGTACATTCAGAAATAAGAACATCTTTATAAAGCTTTGATCCTAGCCAAGACATTAGTTTTCATCTGTCCTGAAGTAAAAAAATGCTGTTTTAATAGCCGAGAAATTAGTTTAACCTTAATTAATTTATTTTTTAGGCATCCTGTAGGGTTTATGTACAACAAATATATTATGTTTACTATCTCGCCAAAAGTTTAAGGACGTACTAAGCCAAGTCACAGACCCAAGTGAGGGACTGGATGCAAGCTGCTGGGCTTCCCGAGGTAGAAAACATTTATCTAATTGGAACATCATGTTGGTTCAGTAGGAAGGCTTGCCTGTAAAGTGCCTTGAGATGACTCATTATGTGATTTGGCACAATAGGAATAAACTGAATTAAACAGAACTGTCTGCGAGTTGGACCTTCTCATGAAATATCAGTGCCTGACCTCACAAATGCACGTCCACAAGAATGATCAAAATTTCCCATGAACACACTGCGAAACCTTCTGGAAAGCCAGCTGAAGCTGTTGTAGCTGCAGGTGGACAACTCTGTTTCTAACCCTGGGGATTAAGAATGGGATGTGATTAAAGTCAAACTTCACTCATCTTTTTGAGACATTTGCAGTGTTCTCCAGTATAATGTTTGCTGTGTGAAGTGCCTTGAAACGACTCTTGTCATGGTGTGGCGCTATATAAATAAAACTAACTTGAATTGATTTGAACAATCGAATGCCTTGTGAGTCCGTCTCTGTGGGGAAAAAGCTCTGACTCTTCTGTTTCGGGAACTAGACGTGTGCCACATCAGAGGAGAGCTGAAGACGGCAGGATTTGGAGTTTTATTTCCTGATGTTTGGACACCTCGCCTCTGATTGGCTTAAGCCTGGTTTATGCTTCTCCGTCAGCTCCGCAAGGGACAGACGCGCACGGATTGACGGAAGCATTTTGCTCTTTTACTTCTCCGTCTCCTGGAGAGTGTTGCAGAGCAATTGCCCGGCAGGACAGCAGAGGGCGTAGCGCTGTTCTGTGGTATCCTGTCATGTATCGGTCCAAGATCGTGTGTTTATATTGTGTTTTTTGTGTTTATAAGAGACTTTTAACACGGACATATTTGTCTCTCATTCTCCCACCGCTTCATGCGCTCCCCACCTCTAAACCCACGTTTCCTGTCATTTCCGTCCACAAATAAAACGCTTGCTGCGCATCTTTTCACTCCTCCAGTCACGGGAGAATGAAACGTTCATATTTTTAGTTTTTTTCGCGAGGTATTCTTCAAGCTTCTCCGTGTCTGCCGCTAGTTGTCCTCGGCTCTCTTTGCAATGGCGGCGCTGTAAACAACAGCGGCGTCCTGACCAATCACAAGCTTGCGTAATCCGTTTCGTTCGACGTATGTTTAAAAAAAGTGGGGTCGACTCCGTACGTACTTGCGTGCCTGCCGGAGCCCTACGCAAGGACGGATAATGGCGCTGCGTGTCTCCGCACTGACGCAGACGGAGACGCATAAATCAGGCTTTACACAGCAATGCCACTCTGACTCTGTTTGCTCAGCAACGTTGATCTTTTATCTTCACAACCAACACAAGCCTGAAGCATCTCTGCTGTGTGGTGGAGTTGCTAATGCTAACGGTTAGCTTCCAGTCGAGACGTTCTCTGGTGTTTCCCGGACGCTAAACCAACATGATGAAGTGAAGATAGGTGAGCGCATGAAGGATCGTTTTCATTGGAACCTTTTTGATTGGCTTTTCTAATCCAAGCTTTTTCTGTCTGTTGCTGTGGCGTTTAATGCAGAGAATAGGGTTCAGCTGTTTTCACATCCAGCCTGCATTTGAAACTCAGACTGGCCGATCAAATAAAAAATAATAATTAGTAACAAAAAAAAAGGTTTCTCAGTGAACCTGGTCTTCATGTGATTGTGAAGGCAGGCATTCCAATACTTTTGGCAATATATTTAACATAATTCCATTTCACTAAATATTTTTTGTACAGTTCAAACACTTTACATCAACCTAAAATTCATTGATTTTTATCATCACATGATCAGAAAAGCTGACTGTAAACGACTAAAACCAGAACAAAGTCCTGCTACAGACATGGCAGTGCACTGATGCCTCCCATGTTGAAATGTTAAGCTGGCATTAGAAAGGTTTGTCTCAAATGTATTTATCAGATCGCTGAAGTCAGAGAAAACACATCAAACAAAAATCCAATCATATATTTTACTTACTAGTAAAGATAGCCTTTCTAAACTGATGGGATGTAATACTTTAAATACTATGTTTATTCTACTCGTTTTCCTTCCCAACAACATCTCATCTTTAATCTACACACAAAGTCACTCTTATGAGATATGATCTTTAGCCTGACTGCTCTGATGAGATTGTTGGATAATCTACTCCTGGCGTGTCTAATCCATATCTCATCTCTCCAGCATGCTCTGCTGCTCTCCCACCTGGCTGACCACCAGTCGTCCGTTGTTGGATTCAGTGGCGTAAATCACCCAGAGGCCATTTTCATCCACAGCCAGGTCAATATCCGACTTTCCTCCCCAGCGGTAGGGTGAGGTGTCATGATAGTTGGCGTTTGTGACAATGGCTTCACCACTTTTGATGCGTGTTCGTAAGTCATACTTGACTATGTTTCGTGTGCGCTCTTTGTTGTAAAACACCGCCCCGTCGTACACAACAAAGCCAGTTCCATCCACTCTGTTTGGTAACCTGTTGACAAGAGAGGGAGACGATCTGATCAGCTCATCTGCTTTTCAGGCCACAGTCCTGCAACACAGCCCACGGTGAGCATGCAGACTCCCTTTTCTTCTGTTGCTATCAATACCCACACCTGCAGTTAATCAATAAAATGGCGGATCCCTTTTGATCATCCAGGACAGAGAGCTGCACTCACTTGTAGGTGGTGGTGGCACGGTTCTGTTTAAAGTCATCCCAAGAGGCATACTCATACAGCACGTCGGTACGGTAAGGGATCCAGGGCATGACGTACAGACGGTCCCCGGCCTGCAGAGGGTCTTTGCACCATGCCCCTGACTGGTGCTCCGTGTCATGAAGAGAGCTGGGCACCTGCACTTGCAGCAGCGTCCCCGGGCAGACAAAAACTGGAGCAGAGAGGAGGAAAAATAGAAAGAAGCAATAAATGAAAACAAAGCATTGCAGAAAGGATAGATTTTATGGAGATGACAAGGGAGGAAGTAAGAGGAAATGGAAAAAAGTCAAGGACCATATAGAACAGGAGAAATACGTGATGAGGTCCAGAGAGAAAGATCTGAATTGATAAAAGCAAGTTTAGAAATGAAAAGACCACAGGATAGAAGAACGGGCGTGGAGGGAAATGGAAGTAAGGTGAGGTTCATTATCAGATTTAAAACGAGGGAACATATAAAAGCTCGTTTGTAGAACTTGAGCATTGTGTTCAGAAAACGTTTGAATATGATAAATGGGAGATTTCTGGCTGCTGCTGCGGCTTAGACGCAGTTGCTAATCTAATTTATCTTGGCCTACTTTTTATTTGATTGTGCTTGTTCTCTTTGAAAAGCCTCTGCTTCTTTGCTCTGCACCTGGGTGGCAAAAAAGTAATCGTGGAGCTTGTTTTATTAAGACTCAAATTTGGCTCTCAGTCAAGAGTAATGCCTTCAAAGAAAAACAAAAAAAAATCATCCTGGGGTAAAGATGTGAGGTTGGCTAAGCCTCCCCTTCCTCTACAAACCCAACTCAGCTCCAAACACCCCATGCACACACGCGCAAACACAAACAGCAGACTATACCGGAAACAGACATGGGACGAGCACGCACAACCATGTGCAGTGTAGACAGGTGGAGGTCACCCACGTGGGACAAGTGCAAATGATCTGTCTGATGCCAGGTGTCCCAGTCTGACAGATACCGCTCAGGGATCCAACAGGTGTGTTAGGTTATCTGTGAAGGAAACTGTGGGCATCCTCACTTCCGACATCACAGAGGACCCAGCTACGGAGGCCATGAGAGCAGAAGCATGGGAAGTGTTTCAGAATAAAACAGCTGAGGGTCTCTATGTGTTCCTTTGTCCGTTCATCTACGTGTCTCATGGGCCTGGGGTTGCAGGAGCACCAGACACCTGCTGGTCACTTCACGACTGAATGCATCTGTGAACTAATTAGACAGTGCTGGGTCTTTTGGACACAGACAGCATACACCAACCTGCAAGACACGCAATAGCATACACACATACACACATGCACCCACACGATTCCTGTCAAACTGCTACTGTCTGAGTGATGGATCTGTCTAGGCTCAAACCGTCTAGAATATTGCACGGACCTTGTGGAGGAGGAGAATCCCAACAGAGTGACGGTGAAGTAAATTCAAGCTTCAGGAAATCCAGCCTTGGCTTTTGGTTTTCTGTTATGCTGCTGCTGATGGTGGCTGGTGATCTGTGCTGCTAGGCCTCTCAGGAATCAGCCTGTTCTGTCTAAAGGCTCCAGCAGGGATTGAGACTGGCAGCCAAACAGGAATCTAATCAGTCAGGCACAAACAGACACTGAATAAAGACTCCTCACGAGCATGAGGCTTGTCACGCTTCATTGTCGGACACAAACGTCTGCTTGAAAGTATCGAGGCTTACTTAATGCTGAATATTAAAATTGTGTGTGACTGAAATGTGCAGAAATGTGCTGAGACGGTTGGACATTTCAATCAACGGCTGTTAAAGGTATTTTTTATGTAAGCAGAAAGTTCTAGAACAGAAAACCAACCAATTAAAAGTAGGACACCGCCTGCTCGTGCTGCACGTGATGAACTGAACAGCACACAGAAAGGATCTGCATGTGGGTGACCCATCCACAGCAACAGAAACAGTCCACCTCAAGGTAGTGTAAAAGACACCAGAAACAAACCTCGTCTCCACCAACACATAAAGGACAGCCTTCTGTTGCTTTGTATTCTCCTGTGCTGCAGCTACACTGATCCCAGTCAGAGCACGGCAGTGGGCAGGAAGCACGACGCTCATGGTCACACATCACATATTAATATTACCCCTCAATCTGAGTAAATCTGAACATTTTGATTCCACCGTGGGGCAGAAATTCAAGTCGATGTCTTACCGAGGTGCATGTAACCAGCATAACGTGTCGTATTAATGCCAGACCTTTGGGGTTAATTGGAGTTTAGCATGAACAACGTCATGAAATTAAAAACTAAACATGACATTAATACAATTATGCTGCGGACCTATTATGGAGGTGCGTTAGATGACCTTTGCTTGTGTTTAGATTAACCTAATTAACAAACAACTGCCACCTCAGAGGCTTGTTTTATTTTATTTATCTAATTTAGAAAAAAATAAAGATGAGAAAAATCTTTGAATTAGATTTTAAAACGATTATGTTTTGAATCCTGGTTGTGGCTTTAGATGGATCAGTAGTACTAACGGTTTTGGACCCAGGAGTAGGTGGATAATGGTGACACAAGCAGGACTCAGGAAGAACAAAAAACGTGTTTTTTGGCTTCGTTCTGTCTCCAAAACTATTTGCTCGCCATGAATTGTGCCCAACTGAGCATCCTACCACAAATGCTATGTGATTCTGTTCATTATTGCACCTAACCTTCCAGCCATGTCTTAAATTGGCAGCAGTCTGGACTCTTTTGGCCTCATCAGCCCAATAATACCAGAACCCAGCAGAGGCTAACAGACGTTCTCTGGATTCCTCCTTCATGATCCTCCCTGACTTCTTCTCCTCTATAATCAGTGCACAGTGGCTTGTTCTAATGAACTGGTCATCATATGGGTCCGCTGCACAAAGCGGCTCATCTACAATCATCTAAGCTGCACATGGAGACCTTGAGACACACACACACACACACATCCTTATTCACACATCCAGATGCCAAACAGAAAGAGGGGCCACGCTTCACATCTTGCAAACCCTGCTTATGGGGCTTCATTAAGTCTGACCTGCACTCCCCAGCGTTCCCGGCTGCTTTCCTGTTTACCAGTTCTTCCTGGCTTTCCTTTGCTTTGCCTCCCTCGTAACTCTGGAGGGTTTAGCAGCGGGAAGCCGGAGCAGCCAAACCCTGGCTGTGTAGTCTATAGTACAAGAGGCTAATATGACCACAGAATGAATGAGGTATTAGGCATTAGGCATTAAGCATTAGGCATAAGTCTTGAGATCAAGCATGATCCTAGTCTGGCTAGAGCAGGTTAGCTTCAGTAGAGCCATCTGGGATTATGTGAGATAGATAAATAGATTAATTCCTCTTTGGCTGTGGATGGAAATCTTGGAGCCGGCATCTATCTTATGAAGCTCTCATGGAGCGCAGAGACAACAGTTTTTTTTACCCTAAACTAGCCAGATGACTAATGAAACTTACCTTATCAGGGATTAAAACCCAGGCTGTAGCTATCATACTGGAACCTGCCAATTACTAGCACACACAGGGAGAAGTACGGCTGTAATAATTGACTATTTATCTCTGTAATCCCTTTCCCAGGCACAGGTCAGCTTTTACTTGTCAATATGAGGCTGCTCCATGAAGTGATGAAAGCTCAAAAACTTTCTTGAAAATGACAGCAAAAACCTCCCATTAGCGTCTAGCATCCATTTGTGATCGACTGCTAAAAGTGAACGCTGACAGCTTTTGGCTAAATTTAGACCTTTCATTTTGGTTGTTGCCCACTGTCCATGCTGTTTTCATGTTTGATGTGACATCATCACAGTGGTGGTTAATGCTCCACTTTGATGATCTGAACACCCCCTGCCAGTGGTTGGCAGTAGATTTCTAGAGTTTTGTGATGTTGTAATCTCCGTTGTTTTCTTTTTTTACCAACAAGGTTTGGGGGGATCTCCAGACCCATGCTTTTACCCAGTCCAGTCTACAGCCATGTTGCACTCACACTGACTGCTGAGAGAGCATGCTGCTCTAATTGAATACCCACCTGTTACTGGCAGGTGCAGCAAGCACTCAGCAGGGGGCAGAGTGGAGCATGGCATGCTAACCTGCATCCATGCTGAACAGTTAGTGGGTTTTGGGGGGTTAGAATGTGTGCATGAGTGTGTATTGGGTCAACCGAAGGTATGCTGGTGTCGTCAAGGCCAGATCAGTGTGTGTGTGTGTGTGTGTGTTTGCCATTCTGCAACAGATAAGCAAAGAACAGAGAAGAAAGCATGAAATAGATGTGAGCATGTTCTGTTGAGTGCAAACAAGAGAAGCGAGAGGAGTGGAGTAAAAGAGAGTAAATAGGTTATTTCCTGTGAAATCAGAATTAGGAGTGAGTTAATTTGCTTTGGAGTGACAAAGAGCGACAGAAGAAGAGAGATAAGGAAAGAGAGTGGGGGGACGCCCGATGTGTTTCCACTTCCTTTTAGACTATTGGGTCAGGTCTTAGGAATAAAAACACAATAAAGTACAAACATACACAAACACCCTGGGACACACACACACACACACACACACACACACACACACACACACACACACACACACACAGAGACAAAGCATGCAGGCAGACACTTCCCAGACAGTGCAAGAGGCATGTTTTAAGCTGGAACTTGTGTCAACCCAAACACTGACCCCAGACAATACCCTTCACTGAGACCAAACTCAGACATCAGCAGGAAACAGCATCCACTGAAATCAAATTCTTATCTACCTCTGTGTGAAGCTGCCTCTGAGTGACAGGAAAGTTGATCGGGACATGGTTTCAGAGGCTACAGAGGTCTAAACGCCATTGTGGCTGACTGAAGCTTGAAAGATGAGGTAACAACAGGCCTGCACGGTTGTAATATTAGCCGAGATTGCCACCTCCTCGAGTGTCTCTCTGCACTCTCCTGCTCTGAGCCATCTCCCAGAGATGCTCTCTCTCCTCCTAATTCCTCTGAAACCTGCAGTATTTTACATTCATAACCACACGCTTCGCTCACTCGGCTCTCTGGTCTTGGGCCCTAACATTGCTGAAGCTACCACGTGTGCTCTGTGCACCACTGCACTCGTTCCCACCTCCCTGTGCCACTAAGAAGGGTCTCTGCACTGCCTTGGTCACATGATGGTGCTTGTGTGTGGTGGGTCATTCCTAATGAGGGGATGCTGCCTGACTCCTTGTCTCTATAGCAACTGCCTTTCCTCTCTTTCCCCATTCACAGCCATTCTTTGTATTTTCCTGTCATACAATGCACTGGTTTCTCACAGATTACCACTCACTTTTCCAAATGACTTATAGAAATCAATTTATACATATTTATGGAGCAAGGCTCTGCCCTTTTCCCAGACTCCGTGGAAATGCTGGGATTGTACACACGTGTCTTATATCGAGCTCTCGTCCTGCCTGTTCTACTTTGGAAGTAAACAAAGTGGAGGCAAAAAAACAAACACGTTTTGGTTCTGTCAGCATCAATAAAAGGAATACTGGGATGATTTGGGTACCGAACACTGCTAGACTGTCAGCAAAAAGGGTGAGAAAAGGGACAGAAGAAGTGATGGGATGGAAGAGGCAGCTGCCGCCGACAGTCTTAATTTGGTCTGACAGCAGGTAGGTTGACAGAGTGACAGAACTTCCTTGGACTGTGGCATCATCATCATCACGAGATCGTCATTATGCTGAACCCAACTGACTAGCCGCGGATTAATCACAGAAGATTTACTTCACAGACAGGAGAAAAGGTAAATTTGGGCTATTCAGCCCTTCACAGTGGGAGGAAACATCAGTGGAGGTGTGGATGAAGGTGAACACAGGCTGGGATGCAGGTACGGGGTTCTCCTTACATTGTTAGTGGGAAGAAGCATGGTAGATAAATAAACACACGAGGTGAAAGCAAGGGGAGGAGGGTGTTGTAGCTCTATATTCCACTACAAGCAGTGAGTTAAAATGGCCTCTTGTGGTGAGAGGAGAATGGGAGACAATGGTCCATGTTAGTGAAAGTCACACAAGCAAAGATTAAAGACAATGGAGTCCATAAACCAGGTGATGGAGACCTTAATGGGAATGAATTTCTCCAACATATGGATCCAGCCATGGTGCCAGGCAGCGGGACAGCTGACGGTGAGACAGGCGTGAGTTTGGGCTTCAGAGAAGGTTGAGGAGGGGAGGGCCTGAGAGGGGGAGTTAAACCTCATTGGAAAACTGGAAATAAGGGCTACTACGCGTGCTGTGACCTTGAACAGGGTCGGATCTGTCTTTGCTCTTTCAGACACTCGTGATTGAGGTGCATGGCCAAGCTGATTGGAGCTCTTTAAAAGTGCTTGTGGCAAGGCTCGGGCAGCATCAGAAAGGCCATTACAGGATCTGAGGGGCTTCCTACAGAGGACTCACCTCCCTCCCTCACACATCCCCCTGTTTCTGAAACACCAGCTGAACCAGAAGGGATGGACTGGGACGGTGTAAGAGGATGGGGCGTTTGTGCGTTTGGTAAAACAGAAAAAATGACTGAGAGGAAATAGAACAGAGGTAAAACAGCCTGTTGCTTTTTGTGTTGGCCACATTTCACCTGACAGACAAACCAGTCAGTGGAAGTCAGGAGAAAGAGAACAAAACAAAGGGTGGATGAGAAACGAAGCATGGATAAATACGCAGTAAGGAGGAGGAGGAGGGCAGTGGAGGAGAGGAAGTGAATGGGATTGTTGTTAATTAGATAAATAAATGCAGACAGAATGAGAAAGGGGCACTGAAGTACCTGAAAATGGGATACTGTTAATGATCTGAAAACAACTTTGTCCAATTATGGATTATCTCAACATGAGAATCTTTTTGCAGAAAAATAACAGACTTAATGTTGGTCCTGGAAAATTAAAAGCAGACAGATAAAACAGAGAGACGGGGAACAGTTGAATATTGAGAAGGTGACTTTTTTCTTGAATCTACGGTGACTGATTAATGAGAACAGCAAAATGAGTTGAACTGGAATAAAACGTGTCCAAGGAGTCCGAGTAATGAAAAAGTGTATGTTGTAAGTGTGTGAGGCGATAGTGTCAAGACAAAAATGAAAGGACTGGAGGAAATAGGGCTGAGAAACAAATGATGCAGTGTGTATGCTTAAGTCGAGATGCTCTTTCTGAAGCAAATGAATGAAGTCCATTTCTGTTTTATCTCTCTCGCTGATGCAGTAATGACCTTCCCTGATGCTTTTATGGGTCTGTGCAAGTGTGCATGGAGGTCAGGCTGGTGTCGTCAGAGCCAAGGAGGGACTAGAGGGATCTCAGAGTTTCTGGTTACATGTCAGCGACAGGTAGAAAGAGGAGGCAAAAGGAGGCGATTAGAGGCCGAGAAAGAAAAGGAGGAGGGGATATCAACATCAAACATGAGCACTACACAGGGTGCTGGGTTAGGAGGGAAATGGGGGGGCAAGAGAAGAAGAGGAGGAGGAGGAGGAGGAGGAAGGGGCGAGCTGTGGTTGTTATGTTTATTGTGGACTTTACCTTTTTGATCCACTTCTATTCAAGCATCAGAAAAAGGAGAAAGAAGGAGACAGAAAGACAACAGAAAGACAGTAAGAAAAGAGGAAAAGCAAAGAGAATGAAAGGAAAAGCAGGTGCAGGAAAAAAGAGAAAATCGAGATTAAAAAAAACGCTGTCCTTCCTCTTCATTTTTTAAAGCAAGTTATCTGCCTGCGTTATGGTTGGCTACTCACGTAACGTATGGCTCGAATGGAAAATGAGAAGGGGAAAAATGGCCTGACTTGGGTTAAAATCTATTTCCATTTCCTTTCAGATGTACCAGTAATCCCCAAACAACACAATCCACACACA